AAATAAACATTAAAAAAAAGTTTTTATTTTTATTTTTATTGTTTTATTTATTTCTGAGAGAGAGAAACAGTGTGAGCAGGGGAGGGTCAGAGAGAGAGGGAGACACAGACTCTGAAACAGGCTCCAGGCTCTGAGCTGTCAGCACAGAACCCAACGCGGGGCTCGAACCTACGAACCGTGAGACCATTGACCTGAGCTGAAGTCTGATGCTTAACCGACTGAGCCACCCAGGTGCCCCTAAAAAAAGTTTTTAAATCTGCCCTACCTATGTGCCTTATTTTCTAAGCTTAAACTTCTATAAACACGAATACAGCATTTCTAATTAAAATATTAAATTATTTGTACCAGCATGCATAATCCAAATATACTTAAAATTACTCATGGATTATTCAAAGGCAAATTTTAGTAATCATAAAATTAATCAATTTTAGTTCATTATGAAGCTGCATATATAGAGAAGTTCAGAGTCATAGAGAATTTTGGGTTAACAGTTCATTTCCACTCCGTGGGCATTTATAGAGCACCACTATGCACTAGCTGTGTGTGTGCTGAGGAAATAACAATGAATTAATCATTGCATTTGGCCTTGAGGAACTTACAGCCCAGCCAGACCATCAAACCAATAGCCGTAATTCAAAATGAGGTATATTGTAGAAGATATGAGATATCACAGAAGTACAGAGTACTCTTTGCCTAACTGCTGTAGAAACACGGAGGGTGAAAAATAAGTTCTCCTTGGGGATATAAATGATTTAGAAAGATCACAAAGGGGAGATAATATTTGTTCTGGGCCTTGAAAGATGAATAGAAATTTGCTGAGCAGTTGGACGGTGAAAGGGATATAAGGAGAGGACACAATAGTGCGGGGAAATAAAGTGTCGCATGAATAGCATGTCATGTAGAGGAGTCACTGACTAGATCACAGATGCCACATTATGATTTTTACACGATTAGCTATTCAGACTTTATCCTAGAGTGAATGAGTCACCAAAAGTGTTCAATGTCATAATTCCAGAAGCAATGTAGAACTAAAGGTGAGGCTGTCCTGGATTGAATTATATCCCTCAAGAAAGATACCAAAAAAAAAAAAAAGTCCTAACCTCCAGGGCTTCAGAACGTGCCTTATTTGGAAACAGCCTTTGCGCCTTTGCCAAGGATCAATTTAAAATGAGGTCATTATGGTGGGCCCTAATCCACCGTGACTGGTGTCCTCATAAAAAGGGGTAAATGTGGACACAGATACAGACATGCACAGAGGGAAGACTATGTGAAGAATACAGGGAAAATGTCATGTGACCGTGGAGGACTGGAATGGGACACCTACATGCCAAGGAATGCCAAAGACTGGCAGCCAAGCACCAGGAGTGAGGAAAGAGGCTTCGAACAGATACTCCCTCACAGCCCAAAGAAGGAACAAACCTGGGAACACCTCAGACTTGCGGCTTCCAGAACTGAGACAACATTACTTTCAGCCATTCTGTTAGTGGTACTTTGTTACACAAACAGACCTAGGAAACTAATACCCAGGTTACTGAGCAGTACAGTCTGAAATGATAAGAGACTGAGCAAAGACAGTGACAGGAGGGAGTTCAGAAAAGGTCATAAATCTGAAAGATACCGCTGAGGTAAACAACAAGGTTTACTGAGTGGCGGAATATGCCAGAGGAGAGAGAGTCGTCCAGGATGGGTGAAGTTTTTACTCTATCTTAATCAACTAAATGTGGTGTCTAAACTACCTTACCTTAGATCCTTGTTAGCTCTCTCCTGAGGCTGGGGACCTTAGAGAAAGTCCCATGCCTTTTCCTCTGGCGAATGGCGTCTAATTAGCCATGCTTCTGCCCTGTCATTCAAGCCATCCTCTGGGCTGGTTTCGTTTCCATCCTGTTGGCTTGTAGCTATGTTCTGCTCCATTCAACTAGTTCCTTTAAGAGGCTTGAAGGTCACTTGACCTGCCTACTTTGCTTTCCATTTTAGTTTTGTACAGGACGCTATGTATTAGATTATCCTTAGCTCTACACTCTGCTGCCTGTAGACCAATTCCATCCCTTCCTTATACACGACACAAACCCTTAGCCCCTAGATTCAGGACCACAAGCTCTCACTTCTCCAGGGAGCTAGAATAGATACTAACCACGCTAACCAACCTGAAAAATACAGGAAAAGGAAACATGACAAGAAATCTAATTTCACGTTTGGACATTATTATAGAGACTATATTTTGGATACAAAGGGAAGCCACTGACCAATACTTTTTCCAGAATTGCTAATATGCCATATACTCCATCCAAAGGGATTGGCTTGCTACATGTTCCTGTCTCACTGGCCATAGCTCTTTGGTATAAACACCTGCTCCAAACTGGGTCAATTAGATTGTCTCTGGAGAAAAATTGGAATCAGCCTCTGGATGTGTCTAGATATCTAACACAGAACTTGCAGCAACCATAGTCTTCCATATAGACGAAGCAGGAGACAAAGCTGGTTCACAGAGAGGTAAGAACTAAGCAGATGTTAGAAGGAGGTAAATATGAGAGAGACAGAGACACATGCTGCCTGTGTTCCTCACAGCTTTCCCCTTCCTGGTTCCAATCCCTTATGACACCATCTGCACTTCTGCTTGTGGATGGTGTAAAAATACCTCCATATTCTTATGATAAGTGCGTTTCTCTTTTCATATCATCCTAACTGGAGTTTGTTTCAAAGAATCCTAACCAACCCACATGTATTGAATCTGAAATGTGTATCCAACACTTAAGGGCAGAGGTATTTGGAAATGTGGGTCTCAGGACAGAGCAGCGGTGGAGGGAAGGACATGTGTTTGGGTAAGGGAGTAACTGAAGTCACTGGAGCTGATGAGGTCACCGGAAGTAGTTCAAAGTGATGGGGGAAAGGAGCAGAGGGTAAAAAGAGGGAAAAATGGGTCTCTTAGGAATTTCAGTATTTAAGAAACGGATGAGTGTAAGAGAAGTCAGTGAATCAGGATAAAAAAACACAGGAGACTAGGAGAGAATACTTATGTAGAAGCCAATAAATAAAAGTATCCATGTTGAACTTACAGAAAATCCAACCATCGGTGGCTTAAACAGGGGATGATTGATTTGTCCCTAACAAGATGCCCAGAGGGGCACCTGGGTGGCTCAGTCGGTTAAGTGCCTGACTTCGGCTCAGGTCATGATCTCGCAGTTTGTGAGTTTGAGCCCCGTGTCGGGCTCAGTGCTGACAGCTCAGAGCCTGGAGCCTGCTTCTGATTCTGTGTCTCCCTCTCTCTCTGCCCCTCCCCTGCTCATGCGCTGTCTCTCTCAAAAAAAAAAAAAAAAAAAAAAAAAAAAGATGCCCAGAGCTGGCACAACAGATCAGCAACTCCATGAAGGACTCAAGCTCTTCCTCTCTCTCTCCCACCATTTTTGCCACCTAGTCTTCATCTCTATGGTCACAAGATGGTTCTTAAACCTTCCAGGGAGAAAGGAAAAGCAAAAGAGAAAGAGTGAGGGGCAGTATGGGTGCCACTCTCCTGCTGGAAAAGCAGAAGCTTTACCAAAAGCCCTATGTAAGTGTCATCGGTCAGAACTCTGTCACCTGGCCACCCCTACCTGGAGGAAGACTAGACGAGAACTACGGAAACGAGCTGGGTCAGGCAATCAGCTTTTAACAACAGACTGTAGTCCACAACAGCTACGGGGAGGGCAAGAAAAATGATACCTAAAGACAGATGATGGGGAGAGAGGGTTTGACAGTCGGGAAACCCCTGGCAGCCTATCAAGCGCAATTTCTGACAGTCTGCCCACTGGCTCAGTCAGGAGGGCATGGCGCCTCCTGATCTCCAGGTTGCAGGTTTGAGCCTCACCTTGGGTGTAGAGATTACTTAAAAATGAGTATAGATGGCTCTTTCCTAATGCATGAAAAGGAGAATAATGGAGGAGGCAAAAACCTAAAGGCGGAGCAGAGGTAGAGATACTTTGTTCGGCTCTAAGGCTGTGACTACTTGAGCATGTTTATACACACTGAGTAGTAGAAACAACTGGAGACAGGAGATCTGAGGTATAAATAGCATGACAAAAAGATCAACTGTTGGGGGAAAAACCATCCCGACACCCCTTGGGTGACAGGGGATTTAATGCGATATTGAAAGCGATACCTTTGTCTCCAAAACAAGATAGGAAGTGGGAATGAAGAACAATAGTTTGGATGCGGGCAGGAAAAGGAAGTAGAAACGCTGAAAACTCTATTTTGGCAAAAACACACTTACAAAGATAGAACCCTGACTTCACTGTTACCCAACTTTAAGGAAGGCATGAAGAAGCAGGAAGATCTCCTGAGAATTCAGGTGTGCTGGTTTACCTGGATCCCCGAGCTGACGGCCAAGCAGTGACCCTGGTAGGGACGGAGAGCCGGGAGAATGGGAACTTTTATGAGCAGCTCAGCAGCTCTTGTTTTGTTTTTTTTTTTGGTTCCTCCTGTCCCTCTCGGGACTGCAAAGCCCCAGAGAGGATGGAGAGGGTACCTGGCTTTTTCCTCACTCTGCGTGGTTCTGAAAGAAGGTACACGGCGGTGGCAGGAGCAATGGCCAAAGCACTTGCTAGAAGCATCCAGACCTTGTTCTGCACATTTATTCCCATTGTTTTGAACTCCTTCGCCGTAGCGCGCGGGAGGCGGCGCTGAGCCGGGCTACACTGCAGGACGCCGCCGGCGGGCACCCTCAGGCGCGCGGGGACCCGCAGGGCCTCGGCGGGAAGGCAGGCGCCCCAGAAGCGCCCCACTCGCAGGAGCCCCAGTCGCGCCCCGACAAGCCCGCCCCCACGCCCGTAAGAAAACGATTCTCACTTTTCATTGGCTGACCCTCGAGGAGGGGAGCCCTTGCTTCGTTTTCATTAGCTGCCGCTGGCGTCACGTCCTCTCGCCACGCCCACCTTCCCGGCGGCGCCCAGTGAGCTTTCAGGGAGAGAGATTTACCGGGGGCGGGGTCAGGAGTCGCGCACAGTCAGCCCGCTCCTCCTGCCTCGCGCCCCGCCCCCCGCCCCGAGGCCCCGCCCCTCGCCGGCCGGGCCCCGCCCCTCCCTCCTGAGAGGGCGGGGACCAGGCGGCGGCTGCAGTCGCAGGAATATGCTGGAAGCCGGCGGGCGGGCGCCCGGGCGGTGCTGAAGGGACAGTTCCCGCCACCGAACTTGCCGGGCGGCCGGAGGGCGCGCGGGCGGGGCGGCCCGCGGGGGCACGTGAGCCATGGAGACCATCTGGATCTACCAGTTCCGCCTCATCGTGATCGGGGACTCGACGGTGGGCAAGTCGTGCCTCCTGCACCGCTTCACGCAGGGCCGCTTCCCGGGGCTGCGCTCCCCCGCCTGCGACCCCACGGTCGGCGTGGACTTCTTCTCGCGCCTGCTGGAGATCGAGCCGGGCAAGAGGATCAAGCTGCAGCTGTGGGACACGGCGGGGCAGGAGCGCTTCAGGTAGGGCCGCCCCCCCCCCCCACCCCGCCGGCTCGGGCCCTGCGCCCTCCGAAGTGCGGTCGCTCCCTGCTCGCCTCCCCTTTGCCCCTCCTCTTCCAGGGACGACTTCCTCCTCCGCAGCTGCTCACTTCTCTCTTTGGCGCCCGTTTCCTGCGCCCCCCGCCCCCACCCCGCCGACCCCCTCGGACCCCGTGTTCTGTGCGCCCCTGCCCTCCCCCACCCCTCCCCGAACTGGACGCGCCCAGCTGTGCACACCCCAACCCGCCCCCCCCAGCTCCCCCTCTGCTCCCCCTGCGCGCCGCCCGGGAGGACTGCGGGAGGGGGCCCCCACCCCCGGCTGCAGGGGTGGGGGGCTGCGGTAGCGGTCCTCAGACCCGCGGGCCCCGGGGCTGCTTCGTGAGGGTCGAGCGGTCCTTCGCAGTCTGTCCTGTCGGGCGGTGTGGCCGGGAGGAGACGGCCGCCCCGGGGCGTGTCACGAACTTTCCCTCCTCGGTGACTTGCGGGGGCGCTGACGGCCGCGGCGGTGCGCCCCCAGGACGCGCCCGCGCCGCGGAGCCGAGCGGGCCGTGCGGCCGGGGACTGCGCCGCGTGCGCCTCCTGCGCGGTGAGGGCTGCACCGCGTAATAAAGCGTTCTCACGTTTCTAGGATTGGAGGACTTTTTTTTTTTTTTTTTTTTTAGAGGAAGGTAGGAAATCTGGTCTAGTGTTGCGTTTGGGCTTTTTTTTTTTCAAGATTGCACTGTCACCTGAAACTCACTTAAGCAAGCATTTTGCAATCTTCAGCAAGTTCTCTGCTTGTGAAACGCGGTCCTGCGGGCGGGGGCTTCCCGGACGCGGCCCCCGCCCCCAGCCCTTCCCAGTGAGACCCGCGCACTTCGGTGAGGACTGCCAACTTGCGACGCGCCGCCTTCCCGGCCCAGCTACACGCTGATCCACACGCGCCGTGAGTGCGCGGCCTCGCTTGCTTAGACCTTACTTCTCCCCTGCGTCGAGCGGAAAGATGGAAAGGCCGGCCCTTCAGAGAGGTTTTAAAGGTTGGAATTGTGTAATCCCTAGAATTCCAGGAGGAAACTTGTGTTTCCTTCTCAAGAGGCCTCTTTTAGTTAAAATAGAGGTTCAGTCTTCTGATTTCTCATCTGTAAAATGGGACCTGTATGATTTCTGAGACTCCTTCCCATTTCACCATTGTGAGATGGTGTGCAGATTCCATCACCTGTGATCTCATTCAGAGACGAAATTTAAGATGTTTTGTGGCTCCCCCCAAAGGCATTTACTAATAGCTCTTGCTCTGTCCTCTAAAATGAATATAATAAAAACATACTCTTTATACCTTAAACTTCTAGAAACTAGTGAGTTGCAACTACAAGAAACATAAGTAGTAAAGTCTTATTGTATCTAATTATTTGCTAAGAAGTAGTTCCTCAGCTTATTGGCAACAAAGTAAAGGATAATTAATTTGTTAGATTTTAAAGTCCTTTCTGCTAAATAGATCATTGTTTTTTAATGCCTTTGAGCAGATGTAAATGCCAATTCGTTTTATATACATTATTAAAATCAGACAGTACCTCTACCATAATAATACAAGGGCATTTAGGGAATATTTACTGACAATGAGTCATGCTTTATTTTGTCTGGCTCTTTACCAAAGATGTATTCATAAATACATACATATTTCAAAAGCTGCCTTCAAAGACTTCCCTTTCTGTCATTTAGCAGAATGTTTCAACATAAAATTGCATTTAAAACAATCATTGTTAAACCATTCTGTATCTTTTCCCAACAAAATAGATACTTTTTTGAGTAACAGATACCTTTTATTTCATAGAAAGGCACTATAGTTCATGAAGATGTTAGTCATATCATTAGGAATTCATAGAGAATTTTATATTTGAAGTTTTATTGTTGATTGTATATAAACTAGCAGAAAGGAACCTACTTTAGACAACTCAGAGTATAGTTTGAAAGCATTAAAAACAACAAAATAGTGAGCTGATAATTATGACCATACTCAGCCTTCGTTCCCCTCCCCCAGCTTTATTGAGACGTAATTGACAAATAAAGCCTTAATTTTCAGTGTTCAGATTAACACATGCTAGAGACAATAATTACTTTCAAAAGGAAGGAACAAAATCAAAGTGAAAAAGGTTTACAAAAATAAAGTTTATGTGAGCATACCGTAAATTATAACACTCAACTGTTTTTTTATTATTCTTAGCACTGTGTTAGGATAAATGTCAAATTCCTGTATTAAGGCAAGTCAAAATTGCAGTGCCTTCACTAAAGATAAAAGTTTATGTCTCTGTGTGTGACAGTCTCATCAAGGTAAGTGGCCTATGTTGGTGGAGTGACTCTGCTCTAAGCCATCATTCTAGTACCTTCTTACTTTTCGCCGTTGCTAAGACATCATCATCAGCTTTGTGAACACAGTGTTCTTGCACAGGGGAAGGGAAATGGAAAGTTCTAAAGCAAGCAATGTTCCTTTTAAGTGAGTTAGACCAATGTGGTACAGATCCCTTCAGCTGTTAAGTTCACTGAGGGGAAATTAGTTAAAAGGCCACAGGGGGGCGCCTGGGTGGCTCAGTCCGTTGACCCGCCAACGTCAGCTCAGGTCAGATCTCGCAGCTTGTGGATTTTACCCCTGCATGGGGCTCTGTGCTGACAGCTCAGAGCCTGGAGCCTGTTTCAGATTCTGTGTCTCCCTCTCTCTCTGCCCCTCCCCCACTCACCCTTTCTCTGTCCATCTCAAAAATAAATAAACATTAAAAAAAAAAGGCCACAGGTAGATGGGCCTCCAGGCACCCATGAAGAAGTGAACGTGGACCTGTCACGGTGGGCTTTGAAGGGAAACTAGCAATCGCCACTTTGCATGTTTTTAAAATTTTTAAAGTTTATTTATTTTGAGAGACAGAGCAAGGGGGAGGGGCAGAGAGAGGGAATCCCAAGGAGGCTCTGCAATGTCAGTGTGAAGCCCCAATGTGGGGCTAGAACTCATGAACCACAAGGTCATGACCTGAGCCAAAACCAAGAGTTGGATGCTTAACCTACTGAGCCACCTAGATGCCCGCCACTTTGAATTTTTAATCATCATAGTGGATGAAGTTTCACAGGAAAAAGAATATTGTTCAGCACAGTGTTATTTAGGATAAATATTGGGAAGGATCAAATATAGGAATCTAAATTTTGAGTTTCCCATAAAAAGCACTTAAAGCAATATAAAGATAAAATGAGATAAAGAAATAGCAGTGTTGGCTGTAGGGCTAGGAAACCTCGGGGCTTCAAACCAGATTTTGCCTTTTATTCCTTGTTGTCTGATCTTCGGACAGACAGTTACAGACAGTGATTATAAAGCTCGGATACAAAGAGAATAGCATCTTCCTGGTGCCGTGCTTCTCAGAGTGTGTTCTGCACAACAGTTACCTTTGTGACTCTTTTGAAAAATGAATTCTGTGACCAGGTGAATTTGGGAATCCCTGCATCCCATGTAGAGCTCTCTTAGAAATTCGTATCAAAGGCTCTCAGAAGCATTGTAACAAGGAAGCCCGTTTAACCTTGATTAAACCAGCATGTCTCAAATGTATTCTACAGGCTGTTTTTAGAATGCAAAAACTGAGGTGCCTGAGTGGCTTAGTTGGCTGAGTGTCAGACTCTTGATTTAGGCTCAGGTCATGATCCCAGGGTTGTGGGATCAAGCCCCGCATTGGGCTCTGTGCTGAGCCTGCAGCCTGTTTAGGAATCTCTCTCCCCTCACCCCATGCCTCTTTCCCCCACTGTGCGTGCTCTCTCTCTCAAAAAACAAAAAACAAACAAACAAAAAACCATGGAAATGTATGATAACTCGTGTTATAACGAGCACAACCCGAGAGGTCTGTTGGCGAGTTGCTGCAGTCACGTTCTTTAAGCGGAATCCCTAAACTGTTGAGGTTTAGAGCAGTGGCAGACCTGCAGAAGTTCATTAACCAGCTCGTTAACAAAGGGCTGTAAGTACTAAGCCAGAGAGGGGACAGCCCCCCGCTGCGCGGGGCCCCCAGAACCTGAGGGTGACCTCTGCCTAACACGCTGAACGTTCTGGACCTCCCCCTCCCCTCTGTCTGTCTGGTCGCCTCTTCCCTAGCAACCCTTCTACTGTGCGCCTTTCTCTTGCCCGCGTGTCCCGCCTCCCCTTCAGCGGCCTTGTGTCTTCCCGGCGCCCCTTTCCGTTTCCTCCCATCCGCCTCCTTTCCTCTCCTTCTTTTTTGTGTCCGTGTGTCTCTTCCTCTCCCCTTTCTCTCTAGCTTCTTTCCCCTCATCTGTCCCTCTGGCTCTGCTGCGTCTCTGTGTCCTCCGACCCCTTCAAATCTTTCATACAAAGTTAATGGTAGCTGTGGCTTAATTTATGTTCTTTGTTCGTAATTTTAAAAGCAGACAACATGAACATTTTATATTTCTCCTTAAAGAGAGCTTTTTTTAGAGACTAGTCTTTTTAATGTTTATTTATTTATTTTTGAGAGGGAAGGGGAAGTGCAGAGATAGTGGGGGAGAGAGAGAATCCCAAGCGGGCTCCACGCTATGAGCACAAAGCCCAGTGCAGGGATCCATCTTACAGACCATGACTTCATGACCTGAGCCAATATCAAGAGTCAGATGCCTAACTGACTGAGCCGCCCAGAGGCCCCAAGATAACTTTTTAAGTGCCTAAACTAAATTGTTTTGTTTTGTGTTTGATTTCTACCGCCTTTATGGCAGTTCATAGTCTTCAGTAGAAAAACATTTTTAGGGGAGGCTGAGTGGCTCAGTCGGTTAAGCATCCGACTTCGGCTCAGGTCATGATCTCACGGCTCTCAAGTTCAAGCCCGGCATCCGGCTCTGTGCTGACAGCAGGCCCAGAGCCTGCTTTGGATTCTGTGTCTCCCTGTCTCTCTGCCTTTCCCCAGCTCGTGCTCTGTCTCTCTCTCTCTCTCCTTCAAAAATAAATAAATATTAAAAAAAAAAAGAGAGAGAAGAAAAAGATTTTCCAATCCTGG